CTAAAGCAATCCTAACATGTTTATTAACTTTTGCATTACTTGTAGTATTAGCTACAAAGATGTCACCTATTAGCATTCGATAGATTGTTCGTAGTGTTAATGACTTGACTTTTGGAAGAAGTAGATCACAAGTGCATAGATAATTTATCTGCATTATTCTTGTATAATAGTGAGACGCGTTAGCTTGTAATTCATTTACAATTTGAGTATTTGCCTGTAATGTGTTTACCTCGTCAGCTTGTTTATCAATTTTCCATATTGAGATTGCATTATAAGAATTATTTCTGGAGTTAAATCAGTATTCTCTAATTTTAAAGGAAAATGCATGAGGTAAGCCTTGGATATAGCGCATTCTTTATCTATGAGCATATATGATTCAATTAGTTTATAATATTAACAATCACTAACAGTATTATCTACTTACATAGGATCATTTGGCAGGTATCTTTCAATATCAACCAGTTTCCATAATAGTAAATTAGTGAGAAGGTTTCTAAAATTACCATATTTAATTTTGTCAATAGGTGTTACCCAAATATTTTTATTACGCACTTTAACTGTTATAGCCTGATCAATGGTCCTTATAGGATTTTATAATGCATGATTTGCAGCAGTAATAGTACGTTAGTGTTGCAAAAATCTGATATAATTTGAAATAGTAACAATGAAATTATCAAGTGCATCATGAAGCTATTTGAAATTCTTCTTTAGTATCCACGATGATATAATATATGCAACAAGATCTTAGCAATACAAGTTGAATTCATTTATATCAAAGGATCTTCATGATTGCTTATATGATTCTGGATTTGCATAACCGAAAAACTCATGGAAAAGCTCAGGTATGTGATAACGTTCTTTAAATTTTTCATGATCACACATGTCAATATACCAAATTGTTTCAACTAAGCTAGTGATAAATTACCTTCCCTGTGTATTAGCAAGTGATTGAGTAGACTATCCTCCATTATGAAAATGAATCTAATCAATAAGATCAATACGTAATACTTGATTATGATTTGGATTTTCTGATTGTGAGAAAGTTGGCAGGTATAACTGGGTTCTATATACATTTTACATCATAATTGTAAAGCTGTTTCGTTGTAATACAGAATCAGAAATTATATCAATATCATTTTTAAGCCAATAGTATATATGCACTTCTATGGTTACCGTAAGTTCTATGATACTGCAGTTAAGACTAACTTGAGTTGCAACTGATATTAGTATTTCACTCAACTCAGCACGTTCTATTATTTTAGAAGTTATTACAGCAATATTACATTCAGAAGATAGTTCTTTAGTTACAAGTTTTACAAAAAATTCTTTTTAACGTTATATCATAAGAAATAGGATGGATATATCACTCATGAAGAGTTTGTGACCCTTTAGAGATGCGGATACTTGCAAATGGCATATTGATATGAAAGAAGGTTTGTAAGAGAAAAAATTTTTTATTCTAACGTGTTATTATCTTATTAACTCATGTGAATTTATTCCAATTTTTGATCAGAATCCAGAAGTACAATCATAAAAAAAAATCCAATGAGGCATGGTTAACTACATATTGATTTATAAATCAATTTTTCAGCTTAATTTGGTCAACGAAATGCAATTAATTTATATCTAAAATTAATGAAATAATACAATTAATTTATACATATTATTTTTATGTAATTTATCAAATACTTAATTATATGCGAAAAAATAATTATAGTTAAATTTTATTATATAATGTGCAGTACAAAAATTTTAACATGAAAGTTTTTGAGCAGGTGATCGAGTTATTATACTCTAAATGTTAAATGACAAATTTTATTGGCTAAAAAATTTTTTGGATTTAAAAATAAAAACCTGAGTTGCCAGGTCACGCTAAGCTAATTTTAGATATATAAACTATAAATACCAGTTTGTGCCGCCTAACTTTAAAAGTAATAAAATTGTTTATTTTATAAAATTTTAAAAATCAGATTTTAAATTATGTAAAATTTAAATTTTTAATATTTTATATTTAAGGTAAATATTAAGAAAGAGAACTAAATTGATATTTACAAAAATTTTATTTTTTAATAAATAAGTATAGATTAAATTAGGTTATTTTATAAAAAAGATCATTAACATAATAAAATATTATGCTATAAGTTTATAATATCTTTATTACCTAATTCTATTTTGTATTAAAAAGGTATTAATTTTATAAAATTAAAAAACTTATATTTATTTATCTTAGTAACTATTCTAAAACTTTAAAATTAAATAATAGATCAGAAATAATTTAATAATAAATTTTCTAATATATAATTTATTTTATTTAAAAAACTTCATAAAATTAATATTTAATATTTAATATTACATTGTTTTTTTTTAATTAATGATCTTTATAAATATATTTTAATGAATATCAAGTATAAATAAAATAATTTAACTTTGCATTTTTAAATTTTGATAAATTTTAATCCTTTAATAATATGTATTTATTTAAATAAATTAAGTTATAAAACATAATTTATATATATTTTTTTATATTAATATATAATTGATTTATTCAATAATAAATAAAATAATATAAATACTAATTAAAATAAAAAAATTATAACATTTTATTATATTTCTTATTTGTAATAATCTTTTTTATTTTTTTTTAATAATAAATTATTTTAAATATTTATAAATAAGATTAATATATGTAAAATTTACTTTAAAAAACTTTTACTTAATGTACTATAAACAAAATTTACATAAAGATAAGCATTAGTTATTTTTTTAAAAAAAATATTTATATTCTTCTTTCTTTTAATAGAAATTTATCTCTAAATTTCAAGGTTTGTTTAACTTAAATTGAAAAAAAAAGAATTAAATAAAATTGATCTTTAAACTCAATTAGATTTAACTTATTCAAAAAATATTAGAAATATGTATAATACACAAAAAAAGTTATCAGAATAAAATTCAGTATAGAAAATTTTAATAATTTACATAGTATTATTATATATAATCAGTAATAAAGTTTTATATTATTATGCAACTTATATTTTTATATATAGTAAGAATTGTAAGTTTGAAATTGAATATAAACTTATATACTATTTACGTAAAAATTATAAATTTAATACTGAAAAATAGTATCTGAAATTGTTAGATTAACTATTATAAAGTTCGAACCTCAATCCAATTGAAAATTTATAGGCAATTTTAAAGAGGTGTGTAAAAAAACAGGTTAATATATTGTAGGTAAAAAAATTAATCAATATAGATATTTTCTTTATATAATTCAAAAAGCGTAGGAAGGAATTAAACCTAAAATATTTATTAATTTAATTAATAGTATATTATAATAAGTAATTGAAGTAATAGTAGTAAGATAAGCTATTAATTAAACTTAAACAGTATTTTTTCTATAATAATAAAGAATATATATTTTAATTTTTATGCAATTTTTATTTATTTTAAGAGTATAATAAATTAAAATATGATTTTGAAACTTTTTTTATGCAGTGTATAAATGCTAATTATAATTAAATAAATCTTTAATTAGTATGTAGTATCAGCATTAAATAGGCTATCTTTAGAATAATCTGTATCAAATAAACTGAGTATATTATCAAATGACTAAATGATAAAGGATTAAAATGATAGTGAAATAATATATAATCATTTGAAAATTAGAAATTAGGTTATTATGAAATGACAAATATTAAAAAATTAGAATTATGATTAAGGATTAAGTAAATTCTTTAAATAATAAATAATTAGGTTATTTTTAAATACTGTTATAAAGTACCCATTTGATTAATTGATTTGATTTAATATTAATTCAAAAATCTATTAATTTAACCTGATTTTTTAGATTAGATAAAATAACATATCAACCTAATTTTAATTTGAACTTTAAATGGAATTTAAATATATAATTAATAAAAAGCTTATTTAAAATAACATTAATTATTAAATATTATATTATTTCTTTTATTAATTTAATTTATTAATATTAAAATTATTATATTTAATTTTTATTATCTCTTAAATTTAAATCTGAATTTAAATTCTAAATATTTATATTTTTTTAAAAAATTATAAAAAATAGTAGCACAATTAGCAATAAAAATCAAGTTCAACTGTTAAATAAAATAACCTTTTGATCTTTTAAAAATATTTTCTACTACAATTTTATATGAGAAACATATTAAATTAAATTTTTTTGATAATAAATAAAGGAATTATTAAAAATAATAAAATAAATATGTAGAATCTTTAATAATTAATTGTTATTAATTTATTTTTCATTTATAAATCTTTAGTTTTTATGAACTTTGCATTATGTACTAATTCTAACCAATCTATATTGTAAATAATAAAAATTCTAGTATTGAATAAAGTTTAAATAAAATATGCTTTTAGAGAATTAGATATTTTATCATTTAAAATTAAATGAATCCCATCAATAATACCAATTATATTTTAAATTTATCAATTAATTGAAAGACGGCATTTTTAATATTATTTTAAAACGTTTTATCATCATAAGATGGTAAAATTTTTATAAGATTTCGGTATATTATATAAACGAGTTTTGTTTCTGAAAGTAAAAGTAAATTTAAGGTAATTAATTCTTATCTTCAGTTTCATTTTCAATATCAACATTATTTCAGAATCACTATCACTTTCATTGCATTTTCTGTTTATTGTTTTATAGGCCAAATATTGCATCAATCGGAAAATTTAACATTTGTCAATCGTACGACCGAAGAAATAATTCACTAAATACCCCGAGAATCGGAGATGATAAACCTTGATAGATTATCTTTTTATTGCTATGCATATTAATTTTTCGAAGTATCTATTGTATTTCGTCATAACAAGTCACTCTATAAAGAGTTTATCTTATTAGTCACGATGTATTCAGAAAAGTATATATACCGTCAAACTTTTATAAGCTTTTACAAAAATTCTCTCCAAACTAAAACTTTATTTTACTGCCTCTTCTCAGAAATATCTTTAAAATGGTGCCGTTTAATTGTTTACTTCTAGGCGACACTTTTGATGATATTATCAAGGTTAATGTTGGCGATAAACTCAAGGATGATAATAATGTTGAAATCGATATTAGCGAAGCCACTGTCTCAGATCTCAAAATGCTTATTCGGCGTACGAAAAAACTTAATAGTTATGATACTATGAATCTTTAGAAGAGCTTAAAGGTGTTTTTACCGAAAAGGATATAGATAAACTTAATGGCAAGAATATGGGACCGTCGCCAATGTTTCGAGCTGAGGATAATTTTCCAACTAGTTATAAACCTCCACATTATAATGTTCATATCATCATCGCAGTACTCTCTCCCACTGGTAAGAGTTTCCAATGGTTTATCTCTCGAACAAAAAATTTGTAGAAACGAAATATCGAATTTCCCCATCAAACATCAAGGAAAGTATTGAGAAATGCTAAACTCACCGGATAGAGTTGAAAGACAAACTGTTTAAGAAAATCGAACTGGAAAATTTAGAATTACTACCACATATGTGAGGAGACTATTAATGCATCAGAATTTCTGCAATTAATAATAACCTTTGTTCCACTTTGCATTCACTATCGCACATTGACAATAATGGTCATGAAGACTAACTCATGAAGAAATGCTTTCTGCGCTATTTGACAAGGTTATGAAAAATTTTTGGCTCTTCTTAATGGGCACGTCCGGGTAAGAAAGATGGCTTAAATGAAGTTTTGGGCAAGGCAAGTGAAATACTTCTTTTTTTCATTTTTTTTTTTTTGGTTCTAGATCTGGAATAACCCGTTCTTTATATGAGCTACTTTGTAAAACATATGGAATCTACCTCTCATTGATTGCCGGAAATGGTCCAAAATCTAGGATCTCAGGACATGGAATTGTTATCTCTGATTTAGGTCAATACTAACTGCCAACAATCCTGAAAAAAAAAACTTTACAGCACTTAGCTTCACTCGTGTTATGCTACTTGGCCGATTATTCATTTTAATCAACCTTTTAGAGTCCCATAGTCATGATTAAAATAGCAATTTTACACCAAAGTAATGGCTTCTAATACCACACTTACCAAGGCAAATCAGTGGAAAAGACTTCTGGGTTCCAATTTCACGTGTTTTCGCAGGTTAAATCTATAAGATCAAGATGAACTTGTCATTACATTATCAAGAAATTCAAAATTTTGGCCCCTCAGAAAGAGAAGTTACCAATTGCAATTGATGAATCACAGACAGCTATCAGGATGTTTGAGAAAATTTTTCTATGACTCTTGCTAATGGTCCACTACGACCATTCTTTGCTATCTTACTTCGGACAGTCCTTAATCTCAATGTAGAGAAGTTATGTCTTATACTATCAGGAACAGGAATGAGTTTTAACGATATCAAGATTCATGCTGCCTCTGCTATTGCTAAATCTGGTGGTTCCACATTCAAGAATTTTTTCAGTATACATGATGGATTTTACAAATGTAGTGAGATGAGCAAGCTTATTCAGCATTTTTATCACTAGATGATGAGCTAATAAAAAGCATCAATATTTTTCAGGGTCGCTGATGATTTGTAGTCCAGTTACTGGAACATGCTCTATCAAATACATCTTCAATATCCCAGAGTAATGTGAATGAAAGTGTGGAGAATTGGCAATGTAAAACGAAGGATTTCATAATTACAACCTTTAATGAATCATGTTTTCTTTATTTACGTAAGAATAAAGAAGTATGGAACAAATTGCAGATATTATGATTCTTAGCATGCTTTCTCATTATACAAAATTAGTGAAAGGAGATGAAGGTGCCGAAATGGTTCAATATGGGTTTTCTCAGCTTTGCAGTTTTGAACATCTAGAAGATCTAAACGCGCTTCAAATGGATGCCATTTCAATACAAATAGCAGAACTGGTTCCCATCTTGGTGATTAGAGAATATATAAAAAAGCATCCTGATGAATTTGAGGCCCAGCATTGTGAAATCTATGTTCAGTTCATTATAATGCATCATTTGCAGGTTTTTTTCGAGGCCTACTTAACGATTACACTTGCGGAATTATTCAATGGGAAAGTTGCAAGGAGCATTTTCTTTTTACTAATACTGACATTAAGGATATTTATAAGCTGGAATTACAACTCTCTTATAAAGCAATTATTCGTAACCTTGATAACTGCAACTTAACCATACTTTAATCAAATGGTAATACTAGTGCTAGGGAAAGTGAATTAATTCGTGATATAATATATAGTATCCGAAATAGAATTTTCGTTAATTTTGACTGTGAAAATAGTATTATCAAGAAATTTCTTAAGATAGGTTTCTTCGTAAGGGATACGGCCAAAATTTACCGCTCCTTTTTTTTTTTTTAATTCTATGATCAATTCTAACCAAAAAAGTTTAGAAAAAAGAATCCTACAACATTAGAATTTGATGAGTTTTAATTCGAAGCATTAAGCGTATGAGTCGTTCTGTTTTGTCGGAATCATTTGGAAGAGGTTTAAAATCACGCTGTATGAAACAAGTTGGCAGAATGAATGGAGCATCAATAAGTGCCAATGTAAATTATGTGTTTGGCTCAGTTGGTTATCTGGACTATTAGTTAATGGTAAAATTTATTGGGGAATAGAGCTTACACTTGAGGGTGACGGTTTAGAGGAGCATGCAAGGCGGTTTTATGAAAATGGCAAGTATGATGAAATCCATTAAAAAAAATGTGCCATTCTCGACTTCCTACATCATTCTAAAAAAGTAATGGGATTAAAACAAAACTTCTGGCATATTCTTTACTCAGATGACTATTCATATGTAACAATCAGATGTTATGGGCATGAAGACAAAATTTGTTACCTGCAAGGTGATAGATATATATTACTAATAATCGTATTAATATTTGATCAAGTGAAATTTTCATTCCAAATATATTGAAAAAGAGTTAAGTAAAAATGAATATAGTAGAAATATAGTAGAAATATCTCCATTTAAAATAATATTTGACGCCTCAAGATCAACAAGGGTTTTTTTGTTGTAAACTTTGAGTATATGCGGGAAACTTAATAAATTATATGCTCCGTGTCATCTATATAAAACTATTTCTAAAGTTATTGCGCATTTATTTATCATCAAAATCACGTCGGAATAAACTAGTTCATGTGATTTGAGTCAAGCTGCCATTATGTCATGCGGTGAATTTCAAACACACCTCGAAATGTTAACAAATAAATATATAAAATAAAATTTTTTACTACTTTTAGCATTGATGTAGCATATAAAAATAAATAACAAAAAGTTCTGTAGAACATGACGTTTCTATACAACGATAGCTCTTGTTCGCAGTCTAGTTCCTCTCAGAATAGGAAGAATTACAAGGAAATTAATTCCCAGAATCCTGAAAGAAGAGAAATATTTCCATTCGGATTTGTGCAAGGCTAGGAGATTAAGATCTATCTCCAACAACCAAGCAATATGGCTGAGGACTTTTCTAACCATGTTTTCCATATCCTCATCGTTACATACAACGACCACGGGTTCAGATAGTTTGAAGCTTGGCCTATCTTGATTATCCAACGAACATTCCATAAAATAAAAATTCTCGGCATCAGTGACTATCCCAAAAACACTCTAACCATCTGACCCTCTTCCACTTTATTATCCTTGCTGTTACGATTCGATAAAGATGATTCGAGTTGGACTGCGCATTATGCAACACCTTTTACAAAATCATCTTTATGACCTAGGGATTGGAATCATTTTCGATATTGGTACAAATTGAAATGATTAAATGAAATTTTTTTATCATTGCAGCAGGGTCTCAAAAAATGCCAAAGAGCTATGCGTAGCTTTGTAGGTAAATTTTGGTAATGCAATGACAAAAAAAAATTCCAATATTTAAACCGTGATTATTGTAACGAGAAACTCAGGTGCTGGGAATTCAAATTTCGAAATTCTATATATACAAAAGAGGATTAGCATATATTGTTTGAAAATATATGTACTATTAAACTTACGCAGATACTCTTTCTTTTCAAGGGAAGGGCACAAAGTTTATTATTTATTTGGTTCAATAGAAAGTTTTCCTGAGCACGTGATTATAGATCACAACACTTTAAATAAATATTGTAATGACTTATATTCATGCTGGATTGATCTTGGAGGAGTGGAAATTGAAACCTGTCACAAATCCTTGTATCTGAGATCTGGAAAATAATGCTTTGGTGTAATTTTTACGATGTGTACTCTAAAAGCAAACAATCTTCAATTATTCTGATTGCTTAAATCTAACACCAACAAAGTGCACGAAACAGAATGTTTTCACATTAAAGGCGCGACCTGAGCAATTGAACCTTGCAGTCACGTGTCACCTGAAAATTTGTATCAAAAAAATACTTATTCAATCCTTCAATAAAAAAAAAAGACTAAAGATAATAATTGTTGTCCTTTGAAAATATATCAATTATGATTTTGATCTATTTGCAAGCTTTTTCGGAGAGAAATATTTTCTCTCACATAATTGGAAAACCGATTTTCCAATTATGTCATGAAAATATTCTGGTGTTATTTCTAGATAAATTTTAATAGTTAATAAACCAAAATATAAATAAGTGTTTGCCATAAACAGAGTACAAACCTTCTTTACAAACTGCTTCAATGCATTTAGAAAAAGCATCAACAGTTCGCGGAATTATTATATCTGTCAATCCACGCATGCATATATTGTTTTCGAATATATAGGATGCTACAAATAATGATAATGAAAGCTTTGAGGGAATATTAGCTCATTAGTACTAAATTATAAAATTTATATAGGACTATTTACCATTTGTTTGGATCGCATATATCTCAAACCTATGAATATCTGGACGTGCGACGGTTAGCAAGGTAGAGGTTGGAACCGGTTAAAGAATTTTTGGCTGGTTCCAACCTCTATGGCAAGGCAAGATATGCACTGTTAAGTAACAGCTTTGAGCAATATTCAAGTTTTGATAAGTCGTTCTTTCTTTTGTTGGCAGTATCATATCTCCCATTCAATTGAATTAATACTTCTTGACTGATGGACGTAATAATCGCTCGAGTCCGATTTTTAGACCACTATTTACTTGAATTTGAGCAAGTTTTTTAACTTGTCATACGCTACAGATTGAAACTTCACCACTGCTTTTTGTAATGTGAATTAATCGTCTCAGGAAGTATATAATAATAACACAGTAGTTTAAACGTTTAAACATACCTAGAAATTCGAACACCCTTTTCCCCATAAACGAGTTGTATAAAAGTGGCGTCCTCATATATGAATTATATTCGGACTCAGTAAGAGATCGAGACAACATGTCATTTGAAAAAGGGTATACCTGTCCATAAAATACAGAATTTGAAAATTTAATATTTTGAAATATAATCATAAAATCAGAAAGGCTTTCATACATTAGAAGGACTTGATGCTTTATCATTTGGCAATGTAAAAAAAAATCTATACAATCATCTTCACTTGGGGATCCATTGTATCATAAAATCTGGGAGTTTACGGGCGTAAGTGGTTCATAACATGTTTCTATTATGATTAAAAAAACTGTAAATGTAGTTGATATCGGGATTGAGGTTTAGGCGATTGTGAACTCAATTCCCCTGCAGGGTTTGACGTAATGCATCTATAGACATCTGCAAATAAAATTAACTTAATCTAGCATTCTTTTAATTTTGTAATATAAGCATGTAAACTTACACAACATCTCGAAATGCGTTCAGAAATTTCATAATTTTTTCGTCAATATCAATTAAAACTTATTCATTCTAAAATTTTTGCCATAGTCAAAGGAGATTGTGTTAAAATCATCATTTTCCATTTGTTCTTGAATATGCGTGATCAATGATGATGGAAGAGGTCCTATACATAAGTTGTTATGAAAATTGCCAACACCAATATTTAATGGCCTTTCAAAATAAAATGTGCGTCAGTTGAAAGTAAATGTGTATTGCAGATGTTAAAAAACCTCTTACGATTTAGCATTCTTATAATCTCGAAAAGTCAAGACCATTCCATAACCAAGTATTCCCATTTAAAGGACACATACGTAAGCCTGAGAGTAAGTCTTGTGTGAGGTAATGCTGTAAATATTTGTTTATTTCTTGTAAATTTGGGCTTTGGCATATTATCACATTGTTTTACTACGACACTAACTTCGTTTAGGAAACTCTGAAATAGGTTTTATTTGTGCTTTAAAATTATTTTGCTCGTGATTATCTTCAGGTTCAGAAATATCGCTATCATCATTATTCATGGATTTTAAATTATCACCATCATCATCATCACAATCTTCTTTAACTCAGAAAAAACATTCATAATCTATCCCATGTCAAAAACCCTGACCTATGCATTCGAATGTAAGTTAGAAAGCTAAAAATTATTTCTTGCTAAATTCATTTAATTAGAGACTAACCTTAATTGGAGAAGTTGATGATCCTTCTCCTGTGGTTTGTCTTTTTCTTGTTAATGGTAGATTACTTTCGGAAAAAGAATTATTATTTCCGTTGTTTAATATCGCCGTAGATAATTCCGCTGCCAAAAATTTCTGTATAGAACGGCTGATGGATATGGACTTGCTTCCTTAAACGATTTTTCTCACAATTTTTCGCCTTCTTTTCATCGTATCGACTAGCATAAAACATTTTGACATTAGTTTTATTCTTCAACGAAATCAATTCGATTTCTGTTTCCGCCAGAACATAAGCCAACCTTGAAGGTCAATTGTGCTCTAATGGGTCCTGTAATTGATGGATTAAAGGTCTTTTAACAGCAGTCAAGCTAAAAGGTCATCTGCGTTCCATTACTGGTTGTGGCTCAAACTAAGAGTTTTGAATGACGAACCAACTAAGAGATTTTCGTCACGCCATATATTCCAACTTTACGAATGAATTGGCATAAGAAAATTTAGCTGCAACAACAAAAAAAACTTTTTACCTTCTTATAATTATCATGGAGCACTTTGCTCTTTCGCTCCTAATGTTTTGTTCACTATTCGTGATTGTTTAAAGAGATTTAAGATATATGTCTATCTTGCTATTGAAAGGCTCTTCAATGGATTCGTTTAAAAAATCTAAAATACACCAGTCCACAGGTTTTCGCTTGAAGTAATCGTGAGCAACCATGAAGAAATTTTTTGATGCTTGTTGTTACTGCTGAAATTAAATAAAATTGTTGATGTATTTTTCTTGTGTATTTTCGCGACGAACACTTGAGAAACATGGAGGGTTTTCTCTGGTCAGAATTTTCACCTTAATTTCTTAAAAAAAAGATATAATATAATTAACAAAAATGTAGGCGAAAAAATAGACTACATGACTTTAAATGTACACCAATAAAATTTAAATCACATGACTAGATGCACAAGCACGTGATTTATGATCGATCCCATAATCCGACAAAATTCTCATTTTTTCTATAAATTTAATTCAATTTCAATAGATGATCGGTATTATTTTTTTGTTATTTTTTTTTTGCGATTTTAATACTGTCTATGCTTATTATTGCGCACATTTTGATTGTGTAGTTTCATTAAGTCATGGGTGCACACTTGGCTTATGAGTCCAAAATAAGTGATGGTTTAAATTCGCTATCTAATAATTGTTGGAATGGATAATTCCTATCAATTGTTAGCCTTTCTGATAATTGTTGGAATGGAATATGTCCTATCAATTATTGGAGCCTAATTTTTTAAATAATAGCGGGTTGGGTGTGATATGATAGTGGGAAGTGAAAAACATAAAAAAACAATTGTCGACTATAAAAGTTTCGTATATTCGCTTTGCCAGAAAAAAATAAAAAAATGTTTTATTTTATTTTTTTTTGTTTGTAAGAAAGTGAAGATACATAATTAATCCAAAAAAAAAATTTCGTAAAATCTCGCCATATGTAAAAATATACTATCAATAAAGTATAACTTGAATAAACTGTAAATAACGTAAGTTCATATTTTTTATTGAACGCCTATCTATTTAGTCTTCTTACATAATTTTCCAATCAAATAAACCGCAGAATATATTCATGACAAAAACTAGAGATACGATTCGAATCCGATCAATCCGGGCCATCCGTCGAAAAGGCGGATTACATTGATCGGATTATCCGTCAGATAGAACGGATGGATGATCAGATTATCAGATGGATCCGATGAAAACTAATATTTTTTTACTCCGAACTTAGTAAACAACTATTTGCACTTTAGGAAGTAATTTTATTTTTTTAGAACTCCAAACTTGAAAGGTTCGGAACCCTGGAATTCTTGGAGTGTATAAGTCATTCTTTTTTTTTAAAAAAAAAAACTAATACTAAACTTGAAATTGAACCGATCGAAGGTACATATATTTGTATTATTTCTATATATTATTATTTTTTTTTAAAAGAATTCACATTACTTACCGATCCGGAAGCTTAGAACGGAGGTAAGTCCTAATGAAATGGAATATTTCGTTATTTATTTTTTTTATAATCTTTAAAAAAAAACCACACTAAGTAAACGGTCCAGATTCTTGAAAACTTGGGTTGGAATCAGATCGTAGGTAAGCCTATTAGAATTTATTTCTTTTTTTATTTCTTTTTTTTTGATTTTAAAAACTAACAATAAACTTACCTTGTAGGACGAAATTGAGAATTTGCAAGTATATTTTTTAATTATAAAAAAAAGAACTGATATCAACTTCCTTTGAAAGACCGATCCAGATCCTTGGAATGAGTCAGAGTTAAGTTCTAACGTAGTAATCTTTTTTTATAATTTTTTTTTTTAAAAAAAATTGGAATTTTGGGTAGGAGGTAAGTCTCTAATTGGAGAAATTTGTAAGTTTTCTTTTTTTTAATCTTAAAACTAACACTAAATTTACCTTAGTAGACCGATCCGGATCCCTGAAGAATTGCATCGGAGGTAAGTTCTAAATAATTCTTGTTAGCATCTTGTATTTTTTAAAAAAAAATACTAATATTCACTTACCTTCGTAGTCCGATCCGAAATCTATAAACCTTGGAATCTTGGATCGGAGGCAAGTCACTAATGGAATAATTTGTTGATTATTTTTTTATAAAAAAAACTGAATTTTACTAACTTACCTTTGTAGGACGGTCCTGATCCTTGAAGCCCTAGATTGGAATCGAATCGGAGTTAAGTTCCAATGGAGGATTTTTTTTAATTATAAAAAAAAAGAACTAACACTAAACTTACCTTTGTAGAACGGCTCGGATCCTTGAAGCCCTGGATTGAAATCGGATCGAAGGTGAGTTCTAATGGGAAATTAAATTAGAATTTATTTTTTAATTATAAAAATTACTAATGTTAACTTACCTTGTAAACCTGTCCGGATCTTGAAGCATTAAATCGGAGGTAAAGAATTTTTTAATATTTTTTTTTTAATTTTTAAAATAAAAATGAATATAACTTACCCTATAACCTTGGAATCTTGGATCGGAGGTAAGTTTTGATGGAGTGAAATAATTTGATTGTGTTTTTTTTATAATCATAAAAAAAAAACTTTCTAAACTTACCTTTGTAGGACAGTCCGGATCCTTGAATCTTGGATCGGGGCGGAGGTAAGAGATTATATATATTTTTTATTTTAAAAATAAACTATTATTAACTTACCTTTATAGGACCGATCCGGAATCTATAATTTGTTATTTTTTTTTATTTTCTAATAATAAAAACTTATATTTATTTATCTGAGTAGACTGTTCCGGAACCTATCCAAGATTTCGATTTTGTAACTACCGAAAGAATTTGAAATTATTTAAAGACGTGTCATTGGATCAAAATCGAAAAATAAAATACATTTCCCTTATGAATTTCACGTTGTCTCCTTTATTAGGGATTAAGACAAGTAAGTTTTTGCTTCGATTTTTTGAGTAATATTTACAAGTATAATATTATATTAAACTTTGATAATCTGAGTTTACTGCGCTTATGAAACACTTGAAATATTTAACGTACTTTTTCAGGCGAAGCTATATGTATTTCTAAATTGGCGCTGGAAATTTATTACTTCTATATATACAATCACAAATACTAGATATTTAATAAGATAAGACTTTTCTGTACTTTCAGTTTTCATTATTATAATTCTTAATACTTCTATTTGAATACTATTTAGGATTTTATTATAATATAATTCTATATACTTAAAAATTTTCTTTAATGTCTAAAGATCAACAAAATCAGTTTTATCTTTTCTAATATTATTTCTGTCATTATTTAAAGCTTACTTACAAAATTTCTAATACTTGTTATGTCAATATTAGAATAATATTATTGAATGTCATTAATCCAATTGTAATTCTGATATATATCTCAAGATCTTAGATTAAATGAAGACAATATCATTATATTTAGTCTCATTTCAGCAAGTCGCATCTAGTTAAACTGAAATTTCTTCTCCTCTTTGTTTTTAATCTCTTTTTAGCTTTTGTTATTATTAAATTCGTCTTTTTTATCTTCAGGTTAACTAAGCATATCAGTTAAATCATTGTTAATTATATTAACATGTTGACTATAAAGTGTTAATTAAGTGATATTATTATTTTCAATCAGTTGTTTAAAGCTTTGATACTTAATGTGAAGAATAATCTTTACTTAGCAGAACTCCTTCTACTTATCACTATTATGAAGAGATGATAGTTATGACTATATATATATAATATTTTCTTTCTAACATATTTTTCATTTTTCATTAACATTTTTATGTGTTAAATATAATTTAAATAATAAAAATTCTTCAAACTCTTCAGATTGATTTTAATATTTATTAATAATCTGACTTTATTATTGAAAGTAATCTGATCTTATTAATTATTAATATGATATTATCTGTTATTAGATTAAAAAATAGAAAAAATCAAATTATATAGTTTTAGATTGGTAAAATTCTTATTTTAGATCAATTTTACATTTAGATATAATTAGGACTTTTATTATCCCTTAAACTATAGAGCAGGCAAATTTGCCTGCGAACATAAAAAAAAAGTATTAATTTTTTAATAAAAAATAAAATATTAATGTTAATAAT